ACAAACTGGTTGTTAACAGTCCCGACTGAAGGACAACCGCTGCGTGGTGGAGAGGATGTACAAGCAGCAGAAATCGATGTTAAGCCAGATGAATTCGTTGCAAGAGAGCCATTACTGCTATTAACAGAGCCAGGACTAACAGCGGAAGCCATGGTTGGGACCAAACTTCCAGGAGGACTAGCCATAAGAGTGTGCTGAAATTCGTGTCCGATGTTCATTTCAGCATCAGAGTGTGCAAAGGCACAGAATGGACCGCGTGGGCAGTAACCCGAGTTAAGCACGTCGTTGCATTTGGTCGACTTATATATCTGGGTATAGAATATAAATAAATTTTGACATAGGATAAATTTGGCTATGACACAAAATAACTAATTCTGAAATAAAATTTCTATTTAATTAAATTAAATCAAAGGATAAATGATGGTATATTCCCAATGAAAATGTACCAAATCAACGGTCCGACTAGATATATTTAATAAGGTCTCCCTGTAGCCCCGACCAAGTTGCGAAAACGAGGTAAAACCAACACCATTCAGATAAAGAAGATTGCGACAAAAAAAGGATCTTCAAATCTACGATACAAAATCTTACTTTGCTATCCACGGAGTCCGGTTGAGCTGCAAAAAGATTGATGATATTTTAACCTATAGTAACTTTAGGCAACGAATGTCTACAATACCCATCTGACGTATTTTCTGATATATATCATTTACAAAATCGTGGAACTTTTGATAGATCCCAGTAATCAAAAAAGCAACCTAGATCTCAAGCCAGAGCCTATCTAAATAAATGCTGCAGGGGGAAGGATTCTCCTAAGTTCTTATAGAGATGAGCTTCACAAAAAATTTATTATGCACACAATGCAACCATATACAAGGCGGTTATACGATCTCCGTTAGTCTTTGCAAAAGCACTGAAAAGTAGATATCGAGATGTGGGCACTGAAAGCAATCCAGGAATGAAAAACCTCAAGATGTTTTGAGGAAAAATTGGGTTTCGAAGAATTCATCGAGGTCGCAGGACGGTGAACCGAGGACTTATTCGCACAATTTAACAGTCTTTCCTAAGCTTAAATACTCCTTCGATTTCCGATGAGACCACATCACAAATTCCTTCCAACCAACTTTCCCTTCAAAATGTAGTCATGTCACTGCAAGCAACTTAAGAACATCGTAAAAATAAGAAAAAAATCATATCTAGCTGCCCCCTTAACAAATCCCATTATGTCAAGTCATCGTACGCTATAGCAGTCCCAAAGTGCAGTTACAATGACTCCCACAATCGAAGAAGTATTAAATGTCTTAACCTATACTTCAACTTCGAGCCAGTTTCTGACTCATGTTGCTCACTAGATCTCGACCTAAGTTAGAAGTCAGGTTTGCACCAAGTGTATTCACTACGAGACTGGAATTTCTTTACATCTCGGGTCCAACATAAAAAGCATATAATGGAATATATTGATTAGTGTATGGTAGAGAATTTGGCGAGCGACATGTAAGATCTCCATCGAGCTACACTGTAATCTAAGTGCATATTCCTATGCAAATGGTATACGATAAAGCCTAATCAATAACATCATGCAATCTGTCAAATGTCGTTTCGTGATTATAAATGATAAAACATAGACTAATAAATCTTCTGTTTTCATTTTAAAAATGTCAAGAAAGTGGTCAACTTGATCAAACAAGGTAGCTTGGAACATACAGTATATAAAGCAAAGTAAATCATTAAAAGTTGTTTGACCTTGCTTTCGCAACTTGGTGATAATGATAATAGGACCTAGAGGAACGCACCTAGTCCGGAGTTATAGTATACATGATAATTTCCAGTCAGACCGTGGACGTGATAGATTCCCAGACATTTCACCGACATCGTCAGTGAGTCTTACTAATCCTAGCACCAACTAGCCAAAAGGTATAATTTGGTGATAAGAATGGAAATACTCATTGGCGGTGCCAAGATAATAGTCCAGTGATAAGAATTACCATAATTACCTATAGCAGAGGACTTCAGAAAATATGCGCCCTGAAAACATGACTATGTTGCAAAAACGAAGTCAGGCCATGTATAGAAAAAAAAAATAGACTGCAACAAAAACATAGGTCACATCTTGTTCTTCGAATGTACGATAAACTAAAATAACACAAATTTATATACCAGTTCTTGAAACCGAAAAGCTGCGCGGAGCTAAGATAAGAAAAAATCTATCAGCAAGAAAAATATGATGGAGGCAATAAGACCAATCTTTTTTGTTATGTTTTAAAGTTTCCCTGAAAACACGTACAAATGTGAAAAATAAGAGCAAATAAGATGAGGAATATAAAATGCGGTTTGGATAGGTAATGCACAGAATCCAATCGTAATGGAGGAAGAAGTCATATAAAACCACGTAGCACATCAAATATGAAAAAAATCCTTTAGTATATATAGAAATACATACAGAGACAAAGTGCACAAAAATTACTTTGGGTTTGATAAAAAAAACAAATATTTAAAGTAAAAGAAGCAATATAATGTTGCTTTCCTAAAGGAAAATAATAAAAAGCAAAGAAAAATGAAGAAATGCAAAACAGGGAATT